CTGATGTGGCTGGTGAATCTGTGACAGTACCCCCTCCCCCACGGGCATCTTCTGGCGCCCGTGACCGACGGCGAGGACGACCACGACCCCTAGGAGCGGGACGATCTGGGTGCGACTGGTGGAAGTCGGAGAGGAGTGACGGAGCCAGAGTGGTAGGTACATACAATCTCCCTTCCGGACCTCCCGGCGGAGCGGGTTCTGTTAGAGTGGCGGCACAAGTTTGGTCATTCACAACACTGTGGGTGAGAGAATGGGTTCCGGGTTATCTGGTGATGGATCTGGTTGGTGAAGTTGTGATAAAGCATCTGCTTTGAGGTTCTAATGCCTAGGGTGGTAGGTTACTGTGAATCGGAAACGGGTGAAGAATAAGACCCATCGGGCTTTATTGGTAATTAATACGTTTAGCTTCACAGAGGTATTGGAGATTCTTGTGATCAGTTATGACTTCGAAGGGATGTTGAGCACCTTCCAACCAGTGCCGCCACTCTTCCTGCGCGAGTTTGATGGCCAGTAACTCGCGGTTCCCAATGTCATAATTTTGCTCCGCCGGGGACATCTTCTTGGAGAAGTACGCGCATGGATGGAGTACGGAGGGTTCACCCTTCCATTGGGATAATACTGCACTCACTCCTAGAGTGGAAGCATCCACTTCCACCACGAACTGATGGTACGGATCTGGAAGGGTTAGGGCTGGACGGTGCAGAAAGAGGATTTGAGCTGCAGAAAGGCCTGTGTAGCTTCAGGCGTCCAGGAGAGGGTCTTTGGCTTCTGACGGAGGAGCGAGGTAAGTGGAGCCGACCGTTGACTATAATGGGCTATGAAGCGCCGATAGAAGTTTGCAAATCCCAGGAATCTCTGCAGCTCTTTGACCGTGGTGGGTTGTGGCCAATTCCTCACTGCTTCCACCTTGTTTTGGTCCATTTGGACTCCCTCTGGTGTGATTATGTAGCCCAGTAATTGAATTGTGGTTAGATGGAACTCACACTTTCCCTGCTTGAGGTAGAGGTGGTGCTCGCGGAGACGTTGGAGTACCTGGGAGACATGCTGTTTGTGTTCCTCAAGATTGGGTGAGTAAATGAGAATGTCGTCGATGTAGATGATTACGAATTGATTGAGCATATCACGGAAGATTTCATTCATGAAGTTTTGGAAGATGGATGGTGAGTTTGAAAGGCCATACGGCATAACCAGGTATTCGTAGTGCCCGGATGGTGTTATGAATGCAGTTTTCCATTCGTCACCTCTTCGAATGCGGATTAGATTGTAGGCACTGCATAGATTGAGTTTCGTGAAGATCCGGGCACCACGGAGTTCCTCCAACGAGGCTGGCACCAGAGGGAGTGGATAGATACAAGGGCGTAGGCCCCCATCCTTCTTTGCGACAAAGAAGAAACTGGATGCTGCAGGACAAGTGGAAGGATGGATGAACCCCTGATGTAATGCCTCCTTGATGTACTCCTCCATAGCAGTGCGCTCCGGGATCGATAGGGGATAGAGTTGCCGCGACCTTGCTGAACACGTCCTGGAACGCCCTGTAGGCAGCTGGAATGTGGATTGAGCTTTGTGAAGCTGGGCTCTCTATAGTGGTAGAGCAGAGTGGTATGGAGAGCTTAGCTCGGTCTGGAAGAGGGAGATCTGCTAAACATGTCCTGAAACAGGATTCACTCCACTAAAGTATTTCCCCGAAGTTCCAGTGGATGTCTGGATGATGTTTAGCCAGCCAGAGACGCCCCAGGACGATATCTACTGTAGCCTCCTCCAGCACCAGGAAAGAAATCCGTTCAGCATGGAAGTTTCCAATGCGAAGAGTGACTTCCGGAGTGCGATGGCGCACCAACCCCTTGCTCAGTGATTTTCCTTGTATATTGGAGATTTGGTAGATGGTGGAATTACGGTGTCGAGGGAGCTTGATTTGAGTGAGGCTGGTGGAGGAGATTAAATTTTCTGAAGCTCCCGAATCCACCAAGACCTTGACTGGAAAAGAGTGGTTCATGTACATTAGAAGGGCATCAATGTGAGGCAGACTTGAGACATCCGGATGAATGTGGACCGTACTCACTGCTGAGCGTGTGGGGTGAATAGGGCAGGAGGGCAGAAGGTGCTCCTTGGACCCACAGTACAGACAGAGCCCTTGGGTGATTCGGCGAGCCCGTTCCGTGGTTGATAGACGATAACGGTTAGTTTGCATCGGCTCAGGTGCTGGAGGAGCATTACTCGGGGAGGCGGCAGCAGAGGAGGAATCCTCGATGTGACAAGCGGTTAGATGTTGGGAGATGTGCTGTGCTTTTTGCAGAAAGCTCTCTAGTCCTACGGTGTCTTCATAGATGGACATTTGCTGTCTGATTGAAGGGTTTAGTCCACGTTGGAACGCTGATAGAAGGGCCGTTTCGTTCCATCCGCTGCTTGCCGCGAAGGTATGGAATAGAACTGTATAGTCATGGATGGACATATTCACTTGCCGTAGTCGAAATAGCTCATCGTGCACGGAGACCGCCGAGGTAGTTTTGCCAAACACCTCGCGGAAATGATCAATGAAGGCATCATAGGAGCGCACTAGGGGACTGTGCGAATTCCAGAGAGCTTCGGCCCATTGCAGCGCCCTTCCAGACAGTAATGACATGATGAATGCGATCTTCGTTTGATCATTCACAAACTGATGGGGTCCTTATCTTAATCCTCTTCAGGAAGATCCAGCAAGACGGCGGGAGACACAGAGCCACGGAGATCCAGAGTGGTGTAGAGAGGCATGAGGTAAGGTATGCAGCCTTGAGACCAGTCAATGAGATAATGAGGTGAGTGAACAGATATAGTGCTCAGGAAAGTGACATCAGGTGTTCGTAGTTAGTACTCAGGTGATTGTGAACGGGTGTAGGTGGCTGGTGTGGCTGATGTGGCAGGTGAATCTGTGACAATATTATTTTCATATGGGTCTGGGGTGACTTCTTGTACAAAAACTTGCTCCTGTTAATTCAAAGCCCCAAACAATTATGCTTGTTTTATTCTACTCCATGAGACCTTTCAAATGACATATGACTATCCGAGCTGTATGATATTTTTGACATATTAGAGTACATGGCACAAAAAAACATATTTTGTAAATAATTTTTTGGTTTGTCATTTATCATCAAATAACTCGGCACTACTTTGGAGTTAATCAAAATGGCTACATGCATTGTAAACCTCAGACTCTGAGCTTTCAAATTATATCAATTTTTTGTTGATCAAGGCAGTGGTTTGAAAAATATGATTAGTAATATTGTCAAGGAGGAGGGGCAGGGCGTCCCAACCGCCCACGGTACACTTCGGTTTAGAGGGACTGCTTAGCGCTCGTTAAGAGTTGATCAAAATAATTACATTCATTAAAAAGCTGAGATTCTAAGCTTTAAAATGATACCTATTTGTGTTATTCCATTCAGGGGTTGCTTAGTAATTTGATTTTGCATTTTTTCTTGCGGGTGGTGTCCCGCCGGCGGGACTAAAGAACATTTGCATTTATCTTTATCTTCTTCCTGCGTTTATCTCATCGTAGCGTGACAGAAGACCGGACCTAGAAGTCAAAGTAGTGCGCATGTTTCCCTGTGGTGTTTGTTTTTGGTTTGGAAAGTTTTTCTTTTGGGTTTTTGTTTTTGTTCTGATGGAGCATGCCGCGAGATTTACCTCTCTGGCTTGGAGGAGCCAGAATATCCAGGATTTCGCGAGGGACTTCAGCCGTTTCGCCGTCACTACCGTCTTCGACGACGAGACGCTGAAGTCCCTGTTCAAGATCTGGGCTAACTGCCACCGCCCCGTTGACCTCCCAGACACCACGGGACTGCAGTGGAGGGAGGCGATCGCTGGAAGTGGTGTGTGTGGGCAGCACACACCGTTCCTAAACCCCCTGAACATTCTGAACTCCCGCCTAGCCTCCCTCTCCCACCGCCTCTGTATCAGTCTTCACCATCGCCACCACTGTATCATGGCAGCCCCTCTGCTCACCCTCAGCCCACCATCTGTGCGGTGGGATCACCGCAGGTCTGCCAGTCTCTATCGGCATCGTGGCTGGAGGATCCCGGAGTCCTGGACTCCGCCTCGGCCCTTCAACCCAGCAGCTCCACCATGGCTCCTAGCTCCCTCCTCTCTGCCGTGGCCCGTCAGTCCAACAGCTCCGCCGGGCTCCCTCGTCCGGCTATACCTCGTCCCTCCGGTTCTGTCAGGCTCCTCCCTCCCTCCAGCTCCACCTTGGTCCTCTGTCGCTCCACCACGACCTTCCGGATCACTGCCTCCGCATCGATCGCCGGAGCTATCTGCTCTGCCTTGGCCTTCCGGATCCTCTGCGTCACCCTGGCTATTCGGCTGTCCGACTCGGGCTCCACCAGTCCTGAAACTAGCACGGAGGTCGTTCCCCTATCGCTTGCACTCCCGGTGCTGGGAGTAGCGTTGTGGTGTGTGTGTGTGTGTGTGTGGGCAGCACACACCGTTCCTAAACCCCCTGAACATTCTGAACTCCCGCCTAGCCTCCCTCTCCCACCGCCTCTGTATCAGTCTTCACCATCGCCACCACTGTATCATGGCAGCCCCTCTGCTCACCCTCAGCCCACCATCTGTGCGGTGGGATCACCGCAGGTCTGCCAGTCTCTATCGGCATCGTGGCTGGAGGATCCCGGAGTCCTGGACTCCGCCTCGGCCCTTCAACCCAGCAGCTCCACCATGGCTCCTAGCTCCCTCCTCTCTGCCGTGGCCCGTCAGTCCAACAGCTCCGCCGGGCTCCCTCGTCCGGCTATACCTCGTCCCTCCGGTTCTGTCAGGCTCCTCCCTCCCTCCAGCTCCACCTTGGTCCTCTGTCGCTCCACCACGACCTTCCGGATCACTGCCTCCGCATCGATCGCCGGAGCTATCTGCTCTGCCTTGGCCTTCCGGATCCTCTGCGTCACCCTGGCTATTCGGCTGTCCGACTCGGGCTCCACCACCACCTGCTCTGCCACCGTCGGTTGGCCTCCTGAAGCCGTCAGCCCTTCCTCCACCATGGCTCCTCCCTCCGTCGGCTCCACCATGGTTCACCATCATGGCTGTGGTCTGGGTCCCACCTGGCTCCTCCTGCTCCTTGTCTTCTCCCTGGCTCCTCCCTCCATCTGATCTGCCCTGTCTCCTCCTGTTTCCTCCCTGGCTCCTCCCTCCATCGTCTCCACCCTGGACTCTGTTTGTCATCCTCCCGGGTGTCCATCCTCCACCCGAACCTCCTCCTGTACTGTCTGCCTGCCCTCCTGCCAGCCCTTTGCCATCCCGTCACCATCCCACATCCACTCCTTTGTGAATGTGTTATTGTGCTGGTACCTTAAGGACTGCCATGGACAGCTGACTCCTAAAGTTTTTGATATTCTTCATATTCTGTTTGGTGGTCAGTTCACACTGATAGAAATTTATCTTTTCCAATAAGTTTTAACTGATTTTTACATTTTATGGGCATTTTTACCTTTATAAAGCCATTTTTTTCTAAAAGTGTCCATTATCTTTTGCATACTGATATTTGAAATTATTTAAATAATAAAAGATTCTCTGAATATGATATTAAAACCACCAGTAGGTGGCAGCAAGTCACTGTTAATAAGTGAGTCATTGCAATTGAACCGAATAATTTAATCGGATGATTCATTCAGGAACTAAACACTGTCATGTTGCTCAGAGAGGCAAAACCGTGTTGTGGTTGTGTTTGGAATTATTTTTTGTTGTCGAAATAGCGCAAAAACAGGAAATATGGTGTCTAAAACGAAAGTCTCTTAATTAACTTCTTGTTAATTGAACTGTTGTAAAAAATCAATATCACATTTGTAATCATGGTCATTTTTGGAGAAAAAAATGGCACTCTTCGTGTGAAATTTATTAACTATATGAAGTGGTATAAATATATAAATTTTCTACCCCATGTCTTGAATTTGTGATCATTCTAAATGTATTTTAACAATCTTGTTTTCCAAAAGAGCAGTCTCTGTTTTCCGTTCTCTTGTTTTTGTGTTTTTGTAGATCAATGTCTATCGGCGACCTTCAAGAAATTCACTGAGAGGTTCGAGCCTCATCATAGAGGGGACAGTTTATGGAAACTCAAGGTTTATGGGATGTTGTTTTGAAGCAGTTTGGTATAACAATACTTGTTAAATTTGTGTGGTCAGATGAGGTCTGAGCATTGAACTAAGACTATTCAATGAACTCTGCTCCTTTTAATCATCACTTTGTCCCCTGCTTCTGCTCTTCACTTGCTTTTTCCTCAGTCAACTTCTTGGCTGATAGAAGAATGTTAATACAGTTTTGGGTATTTTCGGGTACCAGACAAGACTTCCATTAACAGGTTTTGGGTATTAGACTATTTCGCTGATGAGTTGTTCTGGTACCAGAAAAAAACTGATATTTTCTGATGGGATCTGGCGTCCGGGGCTGGATCTTAATTTTCTGGCATGGAGGCATGATCTAACAGTTGTTATGTTACTATGGTGCTAATTTGCTCTATTCTTTTTCTATTCTATCTGTTTTCTTTTTATTTATTATATAATAAAAAAAAAAACTTGCTATGTGTACTGCATTAGGCTAACTGAGACTTGTCATAACACTTGCATATCAATGCATATATTGATGATGCATTATTGTGCCATCTCAAAGAGGCACAAAGTCACTTTCACATACTTTTTCATTAACTGTTCCCTCCTGGTGGAATGACCTGCCCAACTCAATCCGAGCAGCTGTGCACTTACATATTGTTGCTCTTTTGTTAGTTTTGATTGCTTCTATTGTCCTCATTTGTAAGTCGTTTTGGAAAAAAGCGTCTGCTAAATGACTAAATGTAATGTAAATATAAATATCATTGCTCTTTTGTTGATTTTGATTGCTTCCATTCCATTGTTCTCATTTGTAAGTTGCTTTGGATAAAAGCGTCTGCTAAATGACTAAATGTAATGTAAATGTAATGTTA